GCTCGCGGTATACTGAGACGCCACAGTATACCGAGACGCCGCAGCTGAAGCAGATCCCGACAATTATGTCTGGATCCGCCCAGCTGTGTGAGTGACAGCTGGATCTGCCCAGTCCCACGTCCGGTCCGCCATTCAGCGCTGGCGGATCCGAGCGGGGAATCCAGCCCCTCCCCGTCACGGCAGAGGGCTGTGACAGGATCAAGAGGTGAGCGAACGCCGGTATGTGTTCGCTCACCTCCCGATCTACTGAGCCAAACTGTGACAGTCTCATTGTCACAGGTCGGCTAGAACTATGAGGTGAGTGAAAAGCACTCACCTCATAGTTCTCCTTTAATGCTTATGTATATGGCATAGATCACAAATTGTTTTCTTGCAGTAGTACATGTTACCAGGCTATGAATGGTAATGCATGGTGATGTGCTTTTACTGCTTGGTAAAGGAAACTCTCAGGCCCGGTTCACATTTGGGCATCCCGGGAACCTCGCGTTTGCCACGTGGCCCCATTGATTTCAATGGGGTCATATCCACACAGCAACCATGGCAAAAAAAGCTAATGCACCTTTTTGTGCGACGAGCAACCCGCATCTTTTTTGCGCCCGCGTTTGTGCACAGAACATTTTTTTTTGCAGGTTCCAAAAAATCTGAACATTAATATGCAACAAACATAGGCAACAGGCATTAAAAAAAAAGTGAAATAGCATGTGATAACATGCATTACTGCAAGAAAACAGATGTGGATGGACCCCTGTGGGTGACCTTTCTTTTACTCTGTGTATGTGCTGGTGCCCTACTGTTGGTCTAAATAAAGATTGGCAGTATAAGAGCAGCTTAAAGTGAACGTTCACCCTCAATGAACAATAAACAGCCATATAACACATGTACCTTGATAAATGCATAGCATCATGTCTGACTTCTGTCCATGCGCTGAATGTCCAGCAATCAGCATAGAAAACTGCCGGGCATTTTCCAACACCACGATGCAGCTCATGGTGTCATGCTATTTACATGTTGTTGTTACAAAGACTGGATGGAATACACTTCCTCTGTGCCCTGATGCTGTCAATGATTTAGATTTAGCACGAGGGGGTGTTGAGTGACACTGAGGGATGCCATTAGTTGCATGGTGTTGCTGTTAAAAGCCATCAGTTTTCCAATGCTGATTGCGGGACAACCGTAGCACAGACAAAAGTCAAACATGGCACTATGCAGTGATCAAAAAGGTACATGTGTTATATGGCTGCTAAATGTTTATACAGTAATTCTAGGGTGAACTTCCACTTTATGGAATGAAGAAAGCCTTGCACACACTATTACTTAAAAGGCACAATACAACAGATTTTCCTAGTGTGAGCAAAGCATCCACAGACTCTATGGAGCAAACTGCCTAAATGCATGATGGGAGCTTGGAAAACCACTAGCTTCCTGTAGCATCATACTGGTCCATCCTCATTCTCACTAGCTCTCCCACTTTCGTCCAATGGTCTTTAATAAGGGTGAGTGCTCTTTTTTTATGCACTTATCCTACTCTGATTCTGCTGCCTTCCCTCCATCAGTATATAGACCATTCTTAAAGTGTATCTAAACACAAAAGCAAAAATGCAATATACTGCAACCTACCAGTACTTAGATGTGATGGCTGCATCAGTTTATTATTTTCCCTTTAATTCCTCCTGGTGATCTAGCCAATATATTTTTTATTTTTCAACTTCCATTAGTGGGCCAAGTTGCCCAGCAAAAGTGGCAGATAGAGGGCTTAGACCAGAGGTAGCCAAACTCCGGCCCTCCAGCTGTGGTGAAACTAAAAATCCCATGAGGCATTGCAAGTTTCTCACAGCCACAGACATGACTCCTAGAGAGAGATGCATCATGGGATTTGTAGTTTCACCACAGCTGGTGGGCCGGAGTTTGGCTACCCCTGGCTTAGACAAGCCATTAACATTAACGGTGTGGGGGCTCACAATGGTCAACTCATTCATTTATGTAAATCCTTTATCCCCCCAAAAAAGCAAAAACAGCAACTGTTTGAAAAGGGTTAGCTGAAGTTTAGGTTTAATTTGTTATTCAAGTCCATCTATATTGCCTAGTACATCTTAACACTACCCTCCCCACAGGGTGACAATGCTGCTGTCCAAAGGTGGCTACATTGCTCCTCCATAGAGTGGAGCCTGCATAACACAGGAAGTGAGTTACTGGCCAGATCAAGGCAAAAATCAAGTGAAAAAAGCCTAAAAATAAAAACAAGAATTAATGCAGCCACCAGACTGGCATGTTGCAATATATTACGTTTTTGTTTTGGGGTTTGGATATGATTTCACTACAAGCTCACTGTGCAATGTGCATGGCACCACACTCTGCAACCTCACTGTGTATGCAACCCACAGCTTCCATTCAACTCAATGGAAGCCTGTCAGGCTACAAAGGGGTTTTCCATAGAAGTGAATGGAGGCAATAGCTTCCATACAACTATAAGATTTTAGCCAAAGCCAATGTGGTGCTGATCAGGCTGCACAATGAAGATCTCAGAACATCAGGATTGTGTTGCAGGCAAGTATAATCTATATGGACAATGCTGGGGAAGAATGGGGGAGTGGGTGCACAAAAGCGCACTAGTACTTTAAACTGTCATCAGAAATGTTCCATTGACTTCCCTTAGGCCTGACAAATTTGAATTCAGTTGTCATGACAATCAATGAGGGCAATAAGTTCAAATTGTGACATGAATGATTCTTCTTCTAACTGGTATCTTAACACAGCTTGCAGACATTTAACAGGACACTGGCATTTGCCATAACGCAAATCTGTAAGTTTGCAAGTTTGTTAGAGATAGATAGATAGATAGATAGATAGAGATAGATAGATAGGATAGAAATAATCACTGTACTGAATGCTCAAGGTATTGAACTACTTCAAAAAATTGTTTAGCCAGCATGAACTCCAGTGCAGGGGGTATGCAGAAATACTTCTACCTGTGAATGTTGTGACAGACTTCAGGGACTCAAACATGATCTCGGGGAGAATATGGAAGCTATAATAGCACTCGCTTAGAGTCAACTAAAATCCTAATGGATGTTTGCTCACAAAATGTAAATGTGTACAATGTATATTCAGTGAAGATGAAATATTTGCACAAACTCATCACTGTAAACAAAACACAATCCACGTGTATGAAAAATAAAAACATTCATCACCCAGTTTAAAAACAAGTTAACAGCGTCTCAGGGAGAACATGAGAAGAAGACAACGAGGTGACAGCCAGGTATTAAGAGCACTGGAAACCATGTGCACATACATACAGCCATATTTAAACACAATCTCAGTTCCTCAAAAAAACATGTAGTAAAACCAATATGAAGAAACATGCAATTCAATATCTGAACCCGTATATCCTTTTTATACACTTCTACAGCGTTAACCTTTATCATTAATTCAAGTGCTCCTTGTTTTTACAAAGCAACCTGAACTGAAAATGGCCAGACCCAAAGTAATTAAAACTTAAAGGAGAACTATGGGGTCAGTGTTTTTCCCCATAGTTCTCCTTAGGGTAACGGGAGGACACAAACTAGCGTCCTCCCGTTACCCTAAGCTCAGTATACCGCGAGCTACAGCTCGCGGTATACTGAGACGCCGCACCTGGAGCGGATCCCGACGTAGATGACGGGATCCGCCCAGCTGCGTGAGTGACAGCTGGCTCTGCCTATCTAGAAGCAGAGCCAGCTGTACCCGCCCCCTCCCCCGTCCGTTCCGCCAGTCAGCGCTGGCAGATCGGAGCGGGGAAGAGGGGAATCCAGCCCCTCCCCCTGTGACGGCAGAGAGCCGTGACAGGATCGAGAGGTGAGGGAACCCGGTATGTGTTCGTTCACCTCCCGATCTACTGAGCCGACCTGTGACAGTCTCATTGTCACAGGTCGGCTTAGAACTATGAGGTGAGTGGAAATCACTCATCTCATAGTTCTCCTTTAACTCATGGTAAGAATCTGAAAAGTGGACTATAAATCAATCAAACTAAACATCTCCCGATAGTTGATTACTAGAAATAAGGGCTGCACTGACTAGAAAATATGAAGTAATATAGACCATTCTAATACCAGGTCAAAGAACAGCAGTGGCAATGGTAGAAAACAGCTTGCCTTTGGAATTCACACCTTCTGCTGTCATACATTCTATTAGTTCCTTTAACTGGCTTATTAAATGGATTGCTAAGGTGCAAGAGTGGCACATATATGGGGATAATCAAAGAAGGAACATTCTGAAACTGCAGTAAGGACATAATAGCTCTGCTGTATTGGAATGTACTCAGACAAGTGTCACTCTAATGTTAGTGCCAGGTTCTGAGGGTGTCTACAAATACTGTCAATGTCTTTCTGTTCTCTCATTCATAATGCAACCAACTATGTTCTTCACCTCCACCATGATGGTGCAATCTGAACTTCTAAAGTGCAGCTGACATAACCAATACTGGCAGTTCAAGTCCTACGCATCAGTAAACTAACTTACACAACGTACACCTGTGCATTAGGACTTACCTGTCATTTTATTCAACTTTTACAAATAAAATGCCTTCTATTTTCCAGATAGGAAAAAAAAAATCTAAGTGGGAGCAAACTGAAACAGCAGATGCCAGTGACACTTGTCAGCTGGAAAGAGCATTCGGCTAAATAGAGAACACAAATTAACACTAAACTGAAAAGAAACAAAGTAAGAAACACAACTGTACAAGCAAGGCCACACATCATTTAGAGATTATAGAAGCAACCGGAGGGGAAAAAAACCATATCAGTCCTTTACACTTCCCCTATGTATACACAGCATGATTTAAACTGCAGTACAAGCAGTATCTCATCCCGAGTGCATAAAACATTGTTATGGGCACAATATAATATATTCCTCTAATACAGGAAAGGAGGAGTTGTATTATAAACTGGGAAGTACAAGGATCAATCCATGAGAAGCAACACAGATAACCAATGCATCAACCATAAGATGACATGACCCATTCTTACCTCTAAGGCTTCCAAGGTATTGAAGCTGGCAATTGCAAAACCATCAATTATATCCTCCTCCTGAGAGCTGGATTCTCGCCTTTTACGTCTAGGCGGTCTGGCATTTCTGGCTGAAGCAGCTGGATTTTTACCATTCTGATTTGAATTTTCCTTTCCCAGGCCCCTTTCTGCTTCCGAACCGGAGGAGGGGCTCTGGTTTCGGGGATCCCTGACAGATGGGTCTCTTCTCCTCACCCTGTCCCTTTGAGACCTGGATCTCCTGCTTTGCTGTTTCATTTTGACATCCATCGTCTCTGGGTAAAAATCCGCTAATTATAAATCCACAGGGAAAATTCCAATGAGTGACCTTGAATCCACAAATCCAATTACTAAGCACAACTGATACTGGAAACAGGATACAGCGACTACTTATGTAAGGGGAATATTTGATGTGATGTGTGGGGATATATAGCTCTATATATATATATAAATATATAATCCGGAAGGGAACTGTACACTTTTTCAGTAATCCGTGGAGCTCCTGCTAGTTTTTGTTAATTCTTGCACTCAGATCCAATTCTTCTTAGTAACCAGTTGGACAGGAACTTTTGTGTGCCATTTAATGAAGACAATATTTGCCATTTGCCTGCTTTCGACCCTGCCCCAGATCCTGTAAAGGCTGCAGCAGTAGCATCCTGGTAGAAGAGGGGAGGGGGTGGGGGGTCAGAAATCCCTCATGTTGTGGTGTTGTTGGGAGGGAAGTGAGGACACCCCTCCACAAATGGAAATCTCTTTCTCTTCCTTCTCCTGTCGGGTGGATCAATCTCACAGCAGATGCACAGAAATCAACATAAAAGAGAAAAGAAGAAAGCCCCAGATCCTAATCACAGCCACTGAATGCCGATTCTCTGCCTCCTATGTGCTGCTTGTGCCATTCTCTCTTCTCTTCCTCTCCTGCTTAAAGCCCATCCATTATCGGTCCGGATGGGGTGCTGGACGAAACCCCCTGGTCTCCCCCGGTCCTCCGGGTCACCGATCGTCCGATCCTACAAGCAGACACAAACGGGGAAAGGTTAGAGCAACAATCGGAGCTCTTAAAGAGACAGGAGGAGGGGAGGAAATGTTCTTCTCACTGAATTGTACAGTGCAGCAGAGAAAAAAAAAAAAAGCCCAAAGCAGATAACTGACGTACTTCCGCCAGCCTGTAATTACCAGAGGAAGTGAGCGACTTTATTAGAGTTTAGATTTGGCTCCTCGAATTAACCCGTTGATGGCAGGAGTAGAGGACAGGCTGCTGCCGATTAGCACTGTACAATAGGAGAAAGCCACCGCCGACCCCAGCTGCTGTCACGGAAGGATCAGAGGCGTGATCGCGATCATCGCGATAAGCAAAGCCTTCCGCTGCCCGTCAGAGCTTGCAACAGACATAAATACCGTGCTCAGGATAAACAGAACGTGCAGGGAGAACACAGCTTGTTGCCCACGGCAACCAATCAGATTCACCCATACTGCACTTGAAGCATGAGAGGGTGAACCTGATTGGCTGCAATGGCCAATAACAACTGTCCTTCCTTCACTCTTTATGTCGGGTTGGTTTCACACAGGCGGTAATCCATCTCATTCCCTATAGACATACACTCGCTATACACAGACATTAAATGTGCAGTGCAACCAAGCCTGAATAAACCTCAATACATATCATCAAATCTGAGCTGACATAACTCAGACTATTGTCCAGTATCACTGCCCCCCAGGGGTGTAACTAATGCAAGGCAAACTAGGCATGTGCCTTGGGCAGCACTTTTCAGGGGCCAGCAAAAAAAAAAACAATAAAGCAGACAGGGCCAGACTGGCCATTGGGCATACCGGGCACTTGGCAGGTGGGCTCATAAAAATCGCTGTACACTAGTCTATTGTTTTCTATGGGCCAGTGCAGAGTACGTAAAGATCGGCAAATCTGCTGTGTTCACATCAGTCATATCAAAATAGAAAAATCTGCATCCAAAGTCAGCAAAATTTACATCCACACATAACTTGAATGAAAGAAGAATTTTGTGGCTATGTACAATTATGCATCTAAAGCCTCATTAGGTTCTTCAGTGCACTCCTGCAGCTGGAATCACAGGTGGCTCTGGACAGATGAGGCTGCTCAGCATGTACAAAGCAATGACAGGCTGCCACTGCGTTCTGCCACTATCCGCCTGTATCTACACATCTAGAGGTTCCTGTATCTAGGGACAGATGACCAGTCCTGGATGTAAACAGATTGGAGGAATTTAATAAAAAATCTGGAGATCTGGCACTGCAACCAATCAGCTTCTCTGTCTCATTGTCAAATCTTACCTGAGCAAAATGAAGAGGGATGATGATTGGTTGCCATGGGCAACTGCTCCAGATTCTGTCTGCTCCAGCTTTGATAAATCCCCCCCATTGTGTCCAAGGCCGGTCATCTGTAACACTGTAACTAGACACAGGTAACTTCTGGATGTGCGGACATATGCAAATACAAGTGGACAGCTGTGGCTCCTGTCACCTATTAGGGCCGGTTCACACCATAAATAGTGAGTTCCAGACCTGTCAGCTACTGGAACGCACCGTATCGCATCTCGGCCGGCTTCCTGCGTTCAGGGGCGGGAGATGGCATGGCGGTGCATTGAAGCCAATGGCCACGCCCCCCGTCCACAGTGTGATCACCCGCACCAGAAATTATAGAAAAACAAAGCCTGCGTTCCGGTCCAGTGCAATCTAAAAAATAGTGCTTGCAGCATTTTTTCAGATTGCACTGGACCGGAACGCAGGCATTGTTTTGCACGCGTTCTGGTGCAGGCAATCGCAAAGCGGGCAGGGGACGTGGCTGCGGTGCCATTGACTTAAATGCACTGCCATGCCCCCTACCCGCCCCTGAATGCAGGAAGCTGGGCAGGATGCGTTAGTGCGTTTCAGCAGCCGACCACTCTGGAACGCACTGTTTATGGTGTGAACCAGCACTTATTGTTAAACGGCCGCAGCTGTCTAGAACCACCTGTGAATTTAGCCATACAAATGTGCAGATTCTTGCCGCAGGAATTCGCTGCCGAATCGAATTAGCCCACGTGAATGTGGCCTAAACATATGATTACTGAAGCACTATCAGCAAAGAAGTTACAGTTCTGTGCATGAGCCTTTAAAGACAAATTAAACTTCCTTAAAAAAAAAAATTATATCACACATCAACAAAATCTAATTTCTTTAATACTCATTTTTTAAAAGCATGTGAACCCTATTTTTTTCGGTTTGTAAAGTTTCCAGTAGGCTGGGTTCACACCTAGGCATATCGAATATGCGCGTTTGTCGCGCGTTTCGTGACTCGCGTTTTTACTGCGATTCGTGGTAAAAAAACGCGTGGCAAACGCACGTTTCCGAGGGCTACTTGGCTGTATCCCAATGGAAACACGTGACAAAAACGCCCCAAAGAAGCTCCTGTACTTCTTTGGGCGTAGGGCGTTTTGTAGCGCGTTCATACGGCCTGTAATACGCCCAGGTGTGAACCATACCCATAGGAAATAATGGGATTTCGGTGTTTGGGCTTTTTGCAGAGCGTTCGAACGCGCCCAGGTGTGAACCAGGCCTTCCTGTGCACATCATGGCTGCAACATCCCCAGAATTCCAGTTTGGCACCTGCCAGAGCACATATCAGCATAGGAGTGAGATACCTTTGTTTTGTTGCATGTAAAATGTATTGGGTAATGCCGAGCCTTCATAATTGAAAGAACTGAAATCCAACTGGGGAGTAAAGAGCTAAACGATGCTGGCTGTGCTCCCGCCAGAAACAGTTGGGCTCTGCAGAGTTACTGCAGCTTCCAATGCACACAGCATGCTGTGAAATTAGAGTAAGCATTTTAAGTACAGGAGAGAAGCCTACACAACTGCAAGACTGGAATTCACCTTTAAGCTCAAACCCTGGAATGAGTTCTACAAGTAAGAAGACTAAGCGCCCATTCACAGTTTTCAGCCCTTCTGCGTTGTGTTTAAGTGCATTGTGTCACACACACAATTACCACAATACCGGTGCCTCATTTTCTTGGTGAGTGGATGCTGGTGACCCAAAGGAAATGTATGGACACTTTCATTGGGCTTTTCTAAAGGTGCCATGTTCTCCTTGTTCTACATGTTGTGCTGACAGTAAAAATGTTTTTAAATGACAGACTACGCCATCTAAATTCTTGCAGCACACTAGACCGTGTACCACAAATGTTAACAGACTGGCAAGAAACACTTGATGTAATGAGACAAGCACCACAATAACCACATGTTTATTCCACCAGATACCCATGGGTACCAAATCTACCTTGCACAGGGAAAAGCCCGGCTTGTAGACCTCAACACCACACTGTCTCTTGTGTGCAGTAAGTGCAAGATCTTTTACAGTCTGAGATATTGTTTGTAATGAAATGGGACATGCTGGCTGTCAGACAAATAATACACCATGGTAATCCGGCGTAACAATTTGTGGCAACTTTTTTTTGTTGTTTTTGTACTTGGAACTCCAGGCTCCCCCCTAGGAAAGAACAACTTATAGGTGCCAGGCAGAAATAGCAAATAAGTAGAACTAAAGTGCAATCTCAAAGTTGTGTTACATAATGCAGGTCTCCGAGCTGGAAAATTCATATAGTAAAAATGTGTGGCAGTATACTTCAAGCAGGCATTGTGATGTCATTGCAGTTTCCTTGACAACTTCATTCGGCAACCGTGATGCTAATTATTCATGTGGTTGTGGCTGGGCCTTCTCTTTCAATCAAAACTATGGCCAACACAAGTATCACCAATATAACTAGCCACTACTAAACCTTCCTAAAAGCCAAGCAGAAGTCCTACAGAATTAACATTTTACCAAACTGACATTCTCTTCTAAATATTAGAGCATGCAAACACAATATCATTCCCAACACTCATAACAAGATAAAAGCAAGTAATGTAGGAGAGAAATATTTTTGTTGACTTTTTTCCTTGGCAAATCCCCTATATAACAAACACAGGTCTGCAAAATAAAGACATAAAAGGTCCAAAACATGCAGAACTAAAAGGGGAAGGGACTCTAAAATTGGCTATACACAATTTGACTGATTCCTCATGAATAGCTCGAAATTCGCGCTGTGGGTGGCCACGTCGGCACCCCCAAACTTGACAAACTTCGATTACAAAATTGAAGGAGGAAAAATGTCATCTGAACAGTGACCACATCCAGTCAGATGTAGTCGCTGTTCCGGTATTCAGGCAGCCAAGGGTGCTAGCTCTCTGAATATAATAGCCAGCAGTGTATGGCTAGCTTTACATCTGTGGGAAAACGGGAGTGAGTGGCAGCTTTAAATCCCATACAAGTGGTCAGAGAGGTATGTGCCTGTCTGAATCTTTTCTACAATTAGCAGAGAGCTTGCACATTCATTTTACTTTTGTTAAATTGCCATGATGTATTGTATTTACTAAACCATTGGCTACCTGGAGGAGGGGCATGGAATACATAATTGGCTCTCAAAGAGTTAAACTGGGCTTGAGCTCCAGTCAGAGTGTTAAATACACATCATAAAGGAGGACTGGCTGTATTTTTACACTAGCTATGCTAAAGCTTGCCAAAAGCCTACTGAAGCCTCCGTAAACTTGTTTCAAATTACACTTTGGGAAAAACAATCAAAAATAACAAATATGATGCAGTCTGAATGCACCCAGTGTATCTGTTTTCTTGTCCACAGGGTGACAACACTGCTGTGTGATTTCACCGTAGGACAAACAGCCTTGTCACCATGTTACAGAAGTGGAATAATAACAGAATAAAAGAGCTGTGCAAACTATAT